ATAGTAAATTATATTATCAAATACTTCTAAAAAATAATAACATAAAAGAAATTAATTTAAAAAAAATTTTATATATAAAAACAAATTAAATATGGACTAATATTTCTCACACCAAGAAGAGAAATAATTTTTCTTTATATACAAATCAATACAAATAAATCAATATAAAGATTAACATTATTTTTAAAACAATAAAGATAATAAGAAATTATAGTATATTTTTATTTTTATAGTATAAATTAAGTAATTCGTAAATTTATGTATCAATTTTTAAATTTCTTAATATAAATTTTAAGTAAAACATTTTAAATATAACAAAAATTTCTCATAGTCTTAATTTATATTTATTGATTTATATTATTATAAAATTTAGTAAGGAAGTTCAACAACAAAAATTTATTTTCATTAAAGTAAAATTATTTTTAATATTTTTATTTATTATTTTTTGTATTAACAATTATAATTATTGAATATACGTGAGATTTTTAATATAGTTTTCTCAATTTTTTATTTTTATTTTTAAATATATATGCGTTCATTTAAAATTTATATATCTGATATATGAATATATATGTTATATAGTTTGTATTTTCATAATATCTACACTTTGTTAGTTTTGTATTTATACATTCATATATACATATAAGCGTATATTTATATTATTTCGTATATTTCTTATATTTTCACATATATATTTAGAGTTATATTTTTTGGATTTATATAAATATTACATTAATAATCTGAATATTTTATTAATAATAAAATAGTATAATACATTATATTATAATATTTATTAATAATAATATAATATATATAATTATTATATTATAATATTCATAATATAGTATAATATTATTACTAACACAATTTTATTATAACAATATTTAATATATAATAATATTTTTATAATATTTTATATTTTGATTATATATATAATAATAATATAACATATTATTATTATTATCACAATATTATTATAATAAAAGTTCGATAATATTGTATATTATATTTTTAGGTATTAATGAAAGACTTGCATAGTATGCCTATATATAACATATTTAGAGTTATATATTTTAGATTTATATAAATATTACATTAATAATCCGAATATTTTATTAATAATAAAATAGTATAATACATTATATTATAATATTTATTAATAATAATATAATATATATAATTATTATATTATAATATTCATAATATAGTATAATATTATTATTAACACAATTTTATTATATATTATATATTATATTCATATTTATATAATATATTATTGTAGTTAATTCTATTTTATTTTTATTTTATATACGTTTCTCATATATGTATTTAAATTATTTATTTTAAAATGAATTTTTGAAATTATTATTATATGCCATAATAAATTAAATAAATTGTAATAAATAATGAATTAATTAATTATAGTAAATTAATTACATATTTAAAATATTTTTATGATAAAAATAGTTGTATATGATAATTTTACAATTTTGTAAAATAATAATAATTTTTATTATTTTATAAATTTAATTTTTTTTGATAATTTTATATAATTTGCTATATTCCTTATTGATTCATATTTCATAATTGAAAATGTTTTTATATTCCTATTAATAATTAATGGTATTATTATTTTATTATTGTTATTTTATTTGAATTATTTTGTTAATTTTCTTAATATTAATTCAAATTAATATTATTTTTTTCCAACTTTCGTTCTGTTGGTTAAGTGGCGTGATCCGCTTGAGTGCCGGTCTGTGTTGCAACATTGAGGAACGCTGCACATTTCACTGGAAGCGTACATTTGTTCCACTAATTTTGCCGAAGTGCAGTTTTGAGTTTTGAGTTCATAAAAATTAAATAAATTACGTAAAATTTATTTATTTTTTAATTTTCTATTTTATTGTCGAATTGCATGCAATGTATTGCTGCATTGGTCATTTCAAGTGAAATGCACATGAAATAATTAGGTAACCTCCTTCACGAAGAGTTTTCACAACAAATTCGTGAAGCTTCTCTAATTTGCGGATAATGATGGACTCGCTCGCCTATGCGATGCGGTGAATGCCTGTTGCATTATGGACTTGCAATTGTGCAATTGCACTTTGCTTGCATTCTAGTCAAACTTAATAAAACTGAAGTGGTAAATTAATGAACGTTTTAATATACCAAATATATATAATATATATCTTTGGGTTTTTGTTATTGTTATTGTTTTGGTGATTAACATCTTATGTAATTATGAGTCACTGAAGTCGTCTATAAAGTGTTGGTCTAAATCATTACAATTTTTTACAATCATTTTAGTTTGCTGTGCATTTATTTCTAAGAGTCCATATATATTTAATATGACTTTTGATCTATTTAATATGACTATAAGCTTAAGTTTGATTATTTAAAAGCTCTAATTATTGAAAAGTGACGTTTACTAAGTTATTGTTAATATTTTTGTTTGTTTTAAAAAATATATTTATATTTAGTATTGTGTATTATTTTATTTTCATATTCTTTATGTTTTGTTTAAAAATTATTGAATTATACCTAAGTTCTCACTGAAGCAATTAAATATTGTTATTGCATTGCCAAGAAATACGAGATACATTTCGCAGAAATGCATAATCTTAATTATTATAATAAATGTAAATAATATAAAAAAAACCAAAACTTGTTAAGAACTTTCAAATAATTTATTAGTCATTTCACTACTATGAGTATTACTTATAAAAGTACAGTATAGTACAGAATCAGTAATGTATACAGAGTAATGTATGTATAATATATATAGAGAAGAGGTTATTAAACATAAATTCAAAGCTTAAAAAAAATTTGATAAAATATAAAAATATAATATAAATAAATTATATACATACATATACATAAATACATATATAAATACATATAAAAATAATATAATACAAATTAGGATAGATTTTAAACCCTAAATTGCCACACAGAATTAAAAATAGACGATCAGAAAAACAGAATTCGGTCTCTTATCTCACCTCAGTCCATCTAAAGAACTATATTTGAAAAAAAATTTCATTTGAATATCTCTAATGGTTCAAAACATACCGAATTTTGATCTGTTAATTTTAATTCTGTTACACTGTGCGGCCCCCTTGTATGTATAAAATCTATTCAAAATTATTAAAAACAATTAAAATGGGTTCAACTAAAAACCATGAATTTGTTAAATGTACTAAAAGTAGTTCTCATGTAATCAATTAAAAAAAATTGAAAACTTGAATTTTGCATACAAGTAAATAAAAAAAAAAATGATCAAAAATCAAATTTTCCAGTCGAAATATTTTCAGTCACAAAATAATTTCTTTCATCATATGGGAGTTTAAAAATAATTATTATATTACAATTATTATTTTTATTCCAACATTTTGCATATAAAAACTCTTGGACTCTTTTATATTTGAAAATAGGTTACTTGACAATATCATTAATTATTTTTAATTTTTTTTAAATTATTTTATAAAGAGGTTTTTTTTCGTAGAGTAGAAAATTGCAACAACAAACATTTTTGGTATTATTTTATTTTAATAAATTTTTGGCTGACCATTCGAGTATTGCCAAATACCCATCATCAGTGATTTTGGAAATAATTCTTGTATTTAACTATTTGTAAATAATTTCTTTTTTTTGAGAGTGCATGTACTAGCAATTGGACTCGTGTCCTGCCAAATTTGAGGCTCAGAGTCAACACACCTTAACCAACTGACCCAAAACCGTACATGACTTTTATGTTCGTACATTTGCTGTGAAAGTTTTATTAAAAAATTTACTTGCTGCGTTTATATTAGTATAAAATCATAATCAGCTGTAGAATATTAAATTAATGAATTAATTAATAATATTTTTATTTTAAATTGTTAAAGCATAATACTATTTTATTAATATTTTGGGATTTTAAAAAGTATTTTTTTGAACAAAGCTTAAAAAAAAATTTAATTCATTTTTATTGTTAAATATCAAATTTAAAAGTATATTCTTGATTTTTGATTCTTGTTCTTGAGTTAGTGCTATTACGCACTTTTACTCTATAATGGCTGGGGGCATATCTCTACCCCACACTAAGCTATAACTAGGCTAAGAAATCATATAATTTATTTGTCTTTTAGTTGATGTCGGACCTTAAATCAGCATATCTTTCTGAGAGTCCAGAAGTGGACTTGAGGATTGTAAGAAGGTAGTATCTTTCCTCATACGTGACTTTAAAAATCAAAATAAAATATAATTATTATTTCAAATTTTTAATATATAAAAAATTTTTTTAATTTTTTTTTTTTTGGATTTAAGAACTTCTATACTCTTTCCGATTTGAAGATAGATTTTTTGTTATTTGATTTTTTGTTATTTTTTGTTGTTTTTAATTTTTTATTTTTATTTTTAAATTATATTATTATTTTGATTTTTTGAAATGACAAAGCACTCAAAAAATCAGCGTGTGAATAATAATTATTTTCCAATTCTTAGGTACTCACGTTCCCATACTTCTTCTAAACCAGGAAATAATTGAAATATTTAACCAATGAATTCTTTAACTTTTGGGCATTTAAAATCTTAAACAAAAGCAATTATTATTATGTATATATAAATATATATATACTTATTAATAATACGCTTAAAATATCTATTGTATTTGTAGAAATAAATAAAACAAAATATGGAAAACCATAAATTAAAAGTTATAACGATTGAAACTTGTTAGAGTCTAGAGTTTTCAAAGCGCGTTAACCCTGAACTAAAAGTTCAGCACTAGTAATTGTAACTGTGATTTAGCCATATTTGACTATAAATAAAAAGTGGTTTTTAATAAAAACCAAAACAAGTGTCTTAAGCGCTACACCAAGTGATTGTAAGAAAGATTAACTGGGTAAGTGAATTGCAATTGTGAGTTAATTCTCAGAGTTATGACTCACCTGCCTCTTTCGCATATGTGTGAGGCATGTGTGGCATGTCTGCAGCACATATTGGAAGAGACTTTTGTATATCGTTTAAGTAATTTGTTTAAACAATATATTTAATATTTTCCACTTACCAAGCATATTATTCTCTTTTGCATCTTCACAACGTCCCACCACACGTATAACACCACGGCCCGCAATCGGTGAACATGTAACAATGCCACCTATGCGTGCTATATGTGGTGGCACCCGTGGATCATCTTCGCTCGTCTCATTACTGCCATTATTGTCAACATTATTGCCATTGCCTCCGCTGTTGTTGTTGTTGTTGTTGTTATTATTATTGTTGTTATTATTGTTGTTGTTGTTGTTGCCATTGTTATTGGCAATGTTGGTAATATCGTTACCGAATGGACGCATTTTGCTTAGTTGGTTTGGTTTTTTTTTTAATTTGAAACTATTCACTTTTTTTTAATTCTTTCAAATTTTCAAGTAGTTTTTTTTCTTATTTAATAATGATTATTTTTTTTTTGTACTATTTTTGTTATTGAAAAAATTTTATTTTTATTACACAAATTTTCAATTTTACGTAAAACTCGCTTTTATCTTTTAAATTGCGTATTTACAATTTCAAAATAAAATTAATAAAAAAATTTTATATCAAAAAATTTCGCAACGTTTACTTAATGCATTTAATTTATCGCGTAATTTTTTTTAATTTGGTATTGATTTGTTTTTTTTCTTATATTTTTCACGAATTCAAATTTTTTTAATTAATTTCCGTTCAAATGTTTTTAATTGATTTTTAAAAACGCTCACTGAACGTACGCGTCTGTTGTCCGTTTTATAAACTAGTCATAAGCACGACCAGCTGCTGTTTTTATACTACGGAAGAAGAAAGAAAAACTGCGCCAAAAACAAAATCAAAACAAATCAAAACAAAACAAAGCGAAGTCTTATTTTATGCGTCGTCGTTCGCTCTTCGCCGATCACTTCAATGTTTTTCGTCTCTTTTGTTTTGCTTTCACATTTCTGCTTCGGCCTTTAGCTGTTCAATCAGATGTTTATGTGCTTTTTTCTTCGCATTTCATTTTCAAATTGTTTTTGGTTTTCATTTTCTTTTTGTTTTTGTTTTTGTTTCTGCCACAATCAAGAAAGCTTTAATAGAGAAAAAATATTGTAAATATTGTGTTTGTTTATATTCTCTCTGCTTAGATGCTCTTCAGTTAATATTAATTGTCTTTTAGGAAATGGGAACATAGAGCAGTAGCGGTTACTCTGTACCTTTTACGCTAAAGGTTAATTATGTATAAAATGTCTGCAAAATAATGGATGGGACGGCAGATAAAATATATTTTATATATTTTATTTATAACAAAATATAATTATTATTTATTTATTTCTATTTGAGCCAGTGCACTTGAGCACTTTTACTTTTTCTTAAGTCAAGGTATTTTCAAAACTTCTCTTTACGCCTTGACTGTTTGATTATTGTTTATCAGTTCATCAGACTAAGCAATAATTGACCTCAGATCTGCATACCTCCCCGAGGAGCCTGTAACCATTCTGAGATTTGATAACGCGATGTGTTCTTTATGTATTTTTTGATGGGATCAATATTGAGGTCCCTGAGGATGTCATTCGTACTAATGTACCATGGTACTTTGAAAAGTTTTCTCAGAACCCGGCTTTGTGCAATTTCTAGCTGGCGAATAGTAGTGTTTGAAGCTTTGCTAAACGCTACACAACCATATAGAAGTGACGGACGATTTATTTGGTTATATATCAGTTTTCTGTTCTTAGCATTGAAATTTTCATTTCTGTATAACGGTTGGAGGTGATGAAGAATTTTGGCACAACTAATTCTTTGCAGTTGAAAAGGTTTAAACCATGTGAATCATTTGTCCAGCGTTGTTTATAATAAGATATTAATATATTAGATAGTATCTCTATTCGAATAAATAGTCGCAAATGACAGTAAACTCATGTAATCTTTCACTCCATGAGTTAGTGGGATGGACGACCAATTTGCTATTGCTTCAGAGAGATATTATTCTTACTACAAAATGCAAAAAACCCATTAAAGAAATATTTGAGAAAAACCCATTTTTTGGTAGAAAAGAAAGAGAAGTGGGTCTAAACTTCTGAGAGGTAAATGTATATCAATTTATTAGTAATATAGTTTATGACCAATACTTTGCATTTTTAATTTTAATTTTTACTTAGGCTACTCTGGTCTTATATACGGAATGCAAATAAAAATTTAATTCTATATAAATATTCCATTTTTTATTTTTATTTTATTCCATTTTATTTTTTAAGCTATTCTTGAAATAAAATAAAAAAATAAATTAAAAATTTTTTATTAATCTTTTAAAACTACAACTGTATCCCTTAAAATATAAAATTTTTATTTAAACCACAATTGTCAAACATTAACCTGTTATTACCAAGAGCTAGATGTCTAGGAGAAAAAGGATTGCGGATTTGAGCTCATCTGCAACAAGTCAACTTAACACCATTAGAAGAAGAGAAAATGAACACCATTTATTGATCCATTTGTTATATAAATAACAAATAAATAAGTATCTAATATACATATAAGTATAACCAAGACAATCACTTCGCATCAAAATCATTAAATACATATAGATGGATCGAAGCGTGACTGCTCCTTTATAAGTAATCATCCTGAACTTGAACGACCGTTTCCTCCACTCGGTCACATAAGCACTTTTTATCGTTTTTTAGGTTCCACTTTATTATTCCTAAGTTGTTTCCCAGTGTACTTTAAATAGGGTTGTTCATTTAAAGTACACTATGGTTTTCGTGGCAAGCCAAAATTGGCATGATGGGCATCTAATAAGAACTAGAAGGTAGTAAACACTAAACAATAAATCTCTAAATACAATTAATCCAATAAGAGTTTGGGTCTTATACCTAAGAGGTAATAACTTAACTTTCATCAGGCAATAGATTTTCGGACCAATTGTCAAAACCCCATTCTAGTAATGAGATAGGAAGACAAAAAACATATTTTTGCTTTTTTAGTCAACATATATTGTAGCAATTTTTTATAACATTTATAAGCTTCAACTATTTCCGTCTCTTTGTTTATAGCCACATCAATAAGTTTGTCCACATTTTGTATTCTGGTCTATTGCCAGAGTTTTCATAGCCATGAAATCTGTTTCCGGCGAATACCTGAGTTTCTTTCCATTTTCTTTTTTTTTTTTTTGGATAACCAACACTAGCACCAACACTTGCATTGCGGATTTTGCTTGATATATGGTATTTTAAATAGGAAGTGTTTTTCTTTTTCACTTTTATCAATAGCTCTCAAACACTATTAATTCTTTGTTGAATATCATTTTTTGTAGCATGGTTTGTTTAGGGACTTTTTAGAATTCTAGATTAATTAGATTAATTATTTAAACGATTTGAGCTGCTATTTTCAAAGCCCAGGTTTCCATTGCACAGGACAGTGTAGATTACGTATCAAGACCAAAACCTATTTAATCCTGAGAGAAACACGATATTTCTCTTGGAGAAAACTCTCATATTATCTACTCTCATAGACTGAAGAAGGAACATTTGTAGATCATGTTAGTAAAGTTAGGTTATACCACCGGTCCTAGATTTCCAGTTTGATCTATTGGTTAATTGTGTACAGTATAAGAGCTCAAAGGTTTCAAAATCATCTTTAACCTTTTCTTCTCTCTTCTTATTCATTCCATTGCATTCTCAGGTGAACATTGGACCATAAAATGCTTTTTAGATATAGGTCCTTGAGCTGATAAAGGTTCTTAAAAAAATAAGCCCATAGTATAGTTTTTCAAAACAGATGTTAGGAACTTTCAACGTTCTTTCTACTACTATCACAGAAATGATTAAACAAGAGATTTAATTTCTAGAATGATTACCTAAAAGAGTGTGACCCATCAACAAATCTACTCCAAGACAGATAATATATCTTTATAATAAAAACGGAACATCTTAATGAGGTTGTTGGATTTTTTTCTTATAGAGCGCGGACAACTTATGACGTTTAACGGTGTGAAAATCTTTATCATGGCTTCATAGTTTTTCTCTAGTATACGTAAGCCATGTATAGATAAATTTAACTGTGCCGTACCTGGGGCTAAGGCAATTAGGTCTTATTAAAATATTTTTATATTTTATTTTTTTCGTCGTAAATTCCAATAAATATTTTTCATTGCAATATACGCACTTTCAATGAATATAAATCTTTTTAACAAAAACTATCTATTTTTATTTTGTCTATCTATTTTGTCTATTTTTATCTATCTATTTTGTTTAGAGAAAATATTCGATTTTATGTTAGACAAAGAAAATCGTTTTTCGTTGTAAAATATTTTTTTTTTTAATTTTTTATTTTAAGCAGAGCACCTTTTCTTGGTGAGAATGGCATTTCAAATAGATTTCAATTTATTTAATTAGAAATGAAATTACTTTCCAAGCATATTTTTTTTAGCAGTAATTAAGTAAACTTATGCGAATATTCGCAGAAGTACGCCGAACTGAATTTGTTGCCAATTAAATAATTTAATTGTAGCTTTTTTGGCACAACTGAAAATTACACAATTAGAAAAGTGCGTTCTCTGGCGATTGGACCATTGCAGATGCATTTTCACTTGCAGTCGCAGTGTAAATACGTAAATTAAATGTCAATTTCAGCTGAAAAACACTTTGGTTTATAAATGAATTTAAACAAAGACTCGTGAAAAATTTAACAAACTGTGAAAATTGCTATAAGAAATTTCTTAAAATATCAACAAAATGTATCGATCATTGCCGCGATCTGCGAATCACAACATCAACGCATTTGAACAATTTTGCTCACCAAACAAATTTAAAAATAAAAAATAAAATTTACAAAGAAATTCTATAAACAATGGATAAAAAACATTCGATTCAATTTAATTTAATTTCTATATATGTTTTTTATTGTAATATATGGGCTAACAATTGTATTATAAAGATATATATAATACATTATTTTTTTGAAGTTTATTAAATTATCAGAAAATTATCTGCTGCCTCAAGGCACAGATGTGGGCTGGAGACATTTCTTGGAGTCAGCAAATATCTCCTTATAAGTTGAAGTCGGACTGCACCAATAAAGCTTTAGATTGGTTAAAGAAAGGAAACTGCTTGCGCTAACTGACTACTCACAACTAATATGATAAGTATACTCTTGATCACTTTGTTTTTGATTGTAAGGTTGACCCAGAGAAAAAAAAATTGGGGTATCAGTTCTTGACTTTGTTTATTAGAATTATATTAGAATGTTAGAATGTCAACTTGGTATATTCAGCCCCTTAACAGCATAGCTAAATATCTTCAGTCAAGGAATAAGATGGGGATGACACAAAAGATTTTTTATACTCATAGTACTTTGCATGTCTGGTAGTCAGGCTCTTTCAATTTTAATTGCTTAGAAATTATAGAATTATGTTGTAATTGGGAATATATAGAATATTT